ACACATTTTGAAAGTAAACTTCCAGTTTTATGGATTTTTACAAGGCTTGGAAAAGCCAGGCATCCTGGCAGTGTAGGGATGGGTGAGGGGCATACTGATTTTAGAGTCGTATTGCTGCTAATGATCTGGATGTAATGTTTACAGCCATGTTTCCCAGCACAATGGACTGATGATGTGTGGCAGTAATGAAAAATGTCAAAACACATTTTGAAAGTAAACTTCCAGTTTTATGGATTTTTACAAGGCTTGGAAAAGCCAGGCATCCTGGCAGTGTAGGGATGGGTGAGGGGCATACTGATTTTGAGGATGAATTGCTTAATTATTTACACATCACTGCATTTGTAGGTCAATGCCACTTCTCCTCTCCACAGGCAGTCACGGGGGCATATACAGACTCTCAAATTACATAAATGAGCTTACATGATTTCCTTGGGATACAGCGCTGGGAGGATGCAATCTGAAGCAACGTGGTGTGCTAGAAAAGCACCATCCGTTCATTCCTTCTTTTCATGAGCAGCACCATATTTCCTTAGCCCACTTTATTCCCACCAAGCACATATCCCAAAGCAGCTGCAAATGTGTCGCAGCATGTTTGCTGATAATGAATGAATGTGTTGAATGAATATTCACCATGGCAGTGACAGAATATTTTTCTTGTTCATTATGCTGCAGTTCCAAATCCATAATAAAAACTTCAAACTGCAGTCTTAACTGCACTGTAACAGAAAAATCTCCCCTGTGCAGAGGTATCTTAAGAACAGCAGTGAGTGCCAAAAGAGGTTTCCTTCACTCTTTCATCTCAGAATCTGGTTTTTTAAAAGTCCTTTTGTTGAACAATGGCAAACCTGAGATCAGAGATTGTACATCTTGGAAAACTGAAGAGATCCCTCAACAGATTTTCAATACTACCATTTCTACTATCACTCTTGCATCCTTTTATTGTTTTGAGCATACATTGTTTCTCCAGTGTAAACTGCACTGTGACTTTCCTGCCAAATGATGGCATGGCCCTGGGGGATGAACAAGTGCATGGACCCTTGACGTTGTGGATGACACAACAATAGCCATTGTCTGCAACAGGGGTCTCAAACATGCGGCCCGGGGGCCATTTGTAGCCCGCCGGATGATAGTTTGTGGCCCCCGCCTTGCCTGCCCCCCCGAAGCACCCATGCGCCCTCTGCTGTCAAGAGTAAAAAAAAAAGTCTCGCCTCACTCGCCGGTTATCCCCCAAGACAGTGCCTGTTGCACCCTCCATCCGGATCTGCAGTCTGCCAGCTGGCAGACAGGCGGGCTGGCTGGCAGGCTGCAGTTCTGGATGGAGGGTGCAAGAGGCGCTGTCTCGGGGGAGAGCTGGTGAGCGCGCTGCCAGCCCTTTTCCTTTGCTGCCAAGCAGAGCTCACTCCCGGCCCGTCCTCGAAGAGCGCCTCCAAGCCGCCAACAAGAGCTGCCACTGCCACTGTCTCTTCCAGGGAAGTGGCTCTCTGGCTTTTTCTCTCTCAGCACCTCCAGCACCAGCCCGGCCAGCGGCCGCCTCAGCGCTACTCACCTCGCAAAGTTGCTCCTTTGTCATGGCGGGGGTAGCTGCTGCTCTTCAATGCCTTTTTTTTGAGGGGGGCCCTCAGAGGAAGGTTGCTGGACCTCCATATGTGTGTGTGTGTGTGTGTGTGTGTGTGTGTGTTTGCGTGTGTGCGCGTGCACCTGTGGGGACCCCACCCCATTGTGTTTAATTTCATGGGTACCGATGGGGGCTTTTTTCTTTTGGCAAGGCCAATTCTATGAGGGTTTTTTTTAAAAAAATATGTCATGCCCTTCTCCCCCTCCCAGCTAGGTAGTTGCTGGCGCTCCCTCCCTTCTCCGTTTCTTCATCCTGCTGTTGCTGCTGGTGGTAGTGAAGAAGGAGCCAGAGGGGGTCATGGCTGGCGCCCTTCTTCCTCCTCCTCCTCCTCAGAGCCCCAGCCGGGCTAAGGAAAATCCTGGGTGGCTTCCTCGGGCTCTTGCTCTGCTTGGCGGAAAATCTGATGCGGCCCAGCCTCAGCCAGACCCTGCCTCCAGTGGCCCGCGGGTAAATTGAGTTTGAGACGCCTGGTCTATAACCTTAGATAACATGGTTATTCTCCCTCCTTTCACAGCTTCCATCCAATGAAGTGCTTGACTCACAAGTCAAGCAAGCCCCAATACAAAAGGAGAAATCTTTAGGTATAGGAAATCTCCCTCAGCTGGGGACATCCCCTCCTGCAGGTGCAACTCATTCAACAGATTTCTGCCTCTGGGTTTCAGTTGTTTGCCTTCCAAAATGGGCACATAGCTTTCCATGCACTTTATTTCTCTGCAACATTCTGCAACCCTCAAAAATATATTTCTGTTTGCTCCGACTTTTGTGAGGTACAAATTTTTTTTTTACTTTTGTTGACACTGTCTAATTCAACAAAATTCTATACCATCTCTACAATAGCCAGGATTTTGATTTTTATCCAGTAAGGGTCTTTGCGATGTTCTTTTAAAATACAAAACTTCAGAAAACCTCACTGATGCAGTGAAGAAAAGTTATTCAGTCTTATGTCATTTGTGCAAAATCTCTTAACAGCCACCCTCAGTGGCTCCCAGCAGCCAAATGTCTCTATTGGAGTCTCTGTTCTGAGAGTGCTTTGGAACCAGGGCAAAAATCAACCCCAGAAGGGTGACTCACATAAAGACCCATTCAGGAACCTCTTTAGAGGATGCTAAGCCAGTTTTTGTTCAATGTGTTTCTAGTTTGTTCCATTTCATATAGAGTGTCAGCTTCTGGCATCTGCAATTATTACACAACTCTTGTGACTCTACCCACATCTTTAAATAAAGCACAATTTGAAAGATTTCCACAATGCCCACAAGAATTTCTCCAGTGTGAGAATGCCTTCTGTTGATGCACAGGGAAGAATAACTCGCTTGGCTGTGTCTGCTTTCCAGAGCTCAGCCAAAAAAGCTGCTTAACACATTAGCTAGTGTTCTATAAATCACAACAGATGGGAACTGTGAGCAATTTCCCTACACTTTGCCCTACCATCAGTACATAATAGTCAAGGTTACAGAAACCTGACAGTGAAACATGACATTACAGAAACTTTCCTGCATTATATTTTACAAAGAGCCAGATTTTCCTGGCTCAGTATCAGTTGCCAGTCAGAGGGTGTGCTAAAAAATATTGGCACAAGGAAACGAGGCTCAAGGCAACATTGCCAGGCAAAGTAAGATGATTTGAGAGATACAAATCCCTTTCTTTAAATAATCATGTTCTGTATTTTCCTTTAATAGCAATGTTTGTACTTTCACAGTTCTGTTAACAGTTTATGTTACAGAACTCTTCATGGAACTACAGCCTAGAGTATTTTTAAAAATGAATTGGCGAGCACAAGTTTAAGAATTTAAGTATAGCCCTGCTGGATGATGTCCAGCATCTCTTTTTCCTTTCTATTGACAGACGGCTGGCTCCTGAGTCCTGACTTTGCCTCTGGGAAGGTCAGAAACAAGATATGAATGCGACAGCTCTCTTCCACTGTTGCTCCCCAATGAGTGGTATTCAATAGTATGACACTGGCTCTGTAGATGGAAAACTCTACAAGGGCATGATTTTAATCAACGCTTGGAAAAGTTACCTTTTTTGGACCATGGCGCTTGGAATCAGCTAGCTAGCATGCCCAATGGTTTGTTGTCTGGGAGATTCTGGAAAGTATTGTCTGAAAAGGCAACTCTTCTGAAATCTAACAGACATCAACCTGCCTTTCTTTTTACAAATTTCTTCCTCTCATCTTATAACCATCTTCAAGCACAATACTACTACAAGTAATAGTGGCAGTAGTAGCAGCAGGAGTCCATAACGGAGCTTCTTTAATTTTCTGAGTACTGCAAAATCTTCATTGCACTTTCCAGGATGACATACCCTTGGATTATTATTCACATTTTCAGCTGAACTGAAATTTGAGTTACATTCACTTGCAAAAGAGATTTACTGTTTGATACAGCAAAAGTAAGAATTTAGCATATGCACCCCTCCATCCGGACAAATATGGCATCCCCCCCAAATCAAAACAATTCAGTCACTGCAATAGTATTTTATTTGGGAAAATTGTGATCCTTTCCTGGTGATCACGGAGACCTAAATCCAACTGCTAGTTCTGAGCAGAGCAGACTTACTGCATCAACTGCTGAATAGCAAGTCAACACTCATGTAAATCATGTAAAATTTGGTGAGTCCACTACTCCATAAGTTCCATTGAATCAAATGGATCTACTCTAATAGTTTCTTAGCCGCCTAGAGTGGTCTGGTAGTCCAGATAGGTGGGGTATAAATGAATGAATGAATGAATGAATGAATGAATGAATGAATGAATGAACGAATGAACGAACGAACGAACGAACGAATAAATGAATGAATGAATGAATGAATGAATGAATGAATGAATGAATGAATGAATAAATAAATAAATAAATAAATAAATAAATAAATAAGGGCAAAGAACGCAAGAAATATGCTGTTTGGATGTAGAGGAGAATCTGGAACCAGGGAAAGATTGTTCTACATACATGTGCTTTGGGGAAGAAGCCATACATCCTTGCTTCTTTGACTATGAGAAAGACTTTGACCAAGCCTAGCATGGCAAGTTCAAAGTCAAAGTCTTGATTTGAGAATTATTTATGTACTGGCAACAAAAAGTATCCATGAAAACTGGGCAGATGTTGAAGGAAACGGATCTATGAAATGAATATGAAAAGGATGGGTGTTGTCACTACTGCTTTTAAATTAAACACAAAAACATCTTTAGACAAGCACTTGTAGACTGCTCCATAAATTATTCTTCTGTTTGTTTCTCTAATGGACTAGTTCTAATGTTGCTCTTTAATATATCTGTATTAGATGTGTAAAAGAAGGAAAGAAAAGAGAACCTCAAACATCTATTAAAAATAACTATTTTATACTGATGCCGATGGCCATATAATACCCCATCACCATATGGTTTTCTTACCACTTTCGTCTAGCAGGAAGTCATCTTGATAACGAAACTTTTCAGGGCCACAAGCAATAAAGATGTCATCCTCACCAAAAAAATCCTGAAGGCACATCACCTGCAATACAAATATAAAGTTGACATCAAAAACTGGTTGATCAAAACTTCCATTCAAGATTCTGCTACAGGAAAATGATAAACAATCATTTTATATGTGTGAGTTTTTTCCCCAAAATCTGATATTTTTTTATGGGCAACAGCATAAGATGCAACCAAGTTCTTCTGTCTGTCTGGACCGGTCATCACTGCGCTAGCAAAAGAATAGCTAACGACACCATTGACAGATGACACATTATCTTTCCCCCTTATCACAACAATACACTGATAACAAAAAAACACCCTGATCACCATAATCACCCAGTCTCCTGAAAATGACAAAAACCTGATCCCACAGCTACAAATACTCAACTATCTCACACACTACATCAGAACACAGAGTTCTAACTCCTGTCCTCTGAAGATGTCGGCCACAGAGACTGGCAAAACGTTAGGAAGAAAAACCTCCAGAACATGGCCAAACAGCCCCCAAAACCTACAACAACCATTGGATCCCTGCTGTGAAAGCCTTTGATAATACATTGGTTTCTCTTCTTTCCTTCCTTCTTTCCTTTTTTCTGAGAACTCCAAGCCTACTGATGCTTTCTTCTTAGAAAATATTTATCCTGTGGATTCAATGGTTCTACTGTGAGTTCTTATACCCACTGATACATATACAAAGGCAGAGCACTGGGTTGTTAAAGGGAACTGGTTGGAATGTATGCATCTACAAGTCTCATGGATAGCTCAGCAAGCAGGGCATCTGGCTGTGGAGCCAGAGGTTGGGAGTTTAATTCCTCAATATGCCTCCCAAGAACACAGCCAGCCCACAGCCAGCCTACATAGCTGAAGAAGATCCTGAATATTCACTACTTAGAAATCCCTGGAAAGGGTTGTCTTAAGTCAGAACTCACTTGACAGCATGCAGTTATTATCAAGCACTTGCTACACACCAGTTCAGTCTGTCCCTTCCGCTTGTATCAAAAGCCAGAGGTGACTCCAGCATATGCACATCACCAGCAGAAAGCAGGATCTCCACAGAAAATGACAGAGACTGTTTACCCTATATTCACCCATGTGTTATGGAGGTGTTCTGAAATAAATACAAGGAATATTTTACTCCTCACACTCGTAACTAGCTCTCTTTATACAGATCTTTTCTTTCCCTACCCCGTTGTGTCCTTCTAACATAAAAATCAATAGGTAAGGTCATTTGTTTAAAAAGAAATATTAGCTGGATAATTTGAAAGCCTATATTTCCGGCTACTTTTCTGCAAAGAAAAAGTCAATTTGGACAAGTTAGCCTTATTGAAACACAACTTCCAGAATCTTCCAGCCAGTTCAAGTAACATTCTCAACCCATGCTTTTTGTGTATCATCTGTCAGCTTGTCAGTTCTTCTGCAAAAGGGAGACTCCCTTCAATTTCTGGAAAGGCTGGTAGATGAGCTGAAGCTGCTGCTTATATACAAGAATGTTTAAAGAGCAAAACAAAAAGCTAAGCCCAAAATATTGTGATACATTTAAGACTAACAATTCTATCTCAGTGTGATTTTTTTGTGGATTACATTCCACATCTTCAAACTGTACTCCACAAAAAATAACACTAAAATAAATGCATTCATCTTAAAGATACTTGTATTTCCCATTTCCTCTGAAACAAATTAAATTGGCTGTCTCTCTGAAAACTGCCCTTTGTTTAGAAAACAAAAGTGTTCACTTGCAAGCCGAAGAAAACTTGTGAATGAGACTGTTCAAACAAACTACTTTAATATTTTTAGCCCTGAAGAAAGTTTTAGCCTGAACATTTCAGGAATGTTTGTACTTGTTATGAACAAGTGGAATATAAAAACAAGAGCTAGGTAATAGCTTTATTTGGATTACCAAAACATTACAAAAATGAAATTATTTCCAATTATGCTACTTCATCATACAATTTCCCTTATGAAAACAGAAATCTGTAGAGCATTTATACTTCCAAAATGTAAAATCACAGAATCATAGAATAACTGATTTGGAAGGGTCCTACAAGTTCATGTAGTCCAACCCCCTGCTGGAATCCAAATCAAAGAAGATCTGACGGTTGCCCAGTTTTCTCTTGAATACCTCCAGCATATCTATGTCAGCAGTATTCCAGTATCTATTCAGCATATATATTTTTATACTGATTTGATATGTCATACAATTTACCTTCCTTTGACTGATCAACCAGAACAACCAGAAAGAAAAGACGGGTTAATCTTAGTTGACTGTAATAGTTAAAGTGGACCTAGTGTACTTTGTCGTAGTAGTAATAGTTTTGTTATAAGTGTTCTGTATTTCAATCTGAATGAAATCTGATCTTAGTAAATACAGTTCTCCTCTATTCAGTGTCATGCACTAACAATACAAAATGTCAGAATGCAATGCCACAGCATTTAACAACATGGTACCTCACAGCCGAAACAGGAAGAAACTGAAGAACTAGCACAGTCCAGAATATTAGTGACAGCCTCAGCATCTATCAGACATATTTCCACTGACACAGAGAGGGAAGAGTATGCAAACAAATCTAAACAATCATATTGAATGAAACCAATATGACTCACCGATGTCATTTCAGTATGTGGCATGCAACAGCAATAACGTCAAAGCCTTAATCGTATCCCTTTAAAATATAAATCCACACTGTTAACTTTAAGAGTAGTGGGCAATGGGCAATGGGGCAGCAAAGCAAGCTACGGCTGTTACATTAAAATTTTTGAAACATACTAAAGAGGGGAAATGAAAGATGCCACAAAAATGTCAGAAGAACTACCGTAATGGGTTGTTTAATCTTGCTGGGAATGTGTAATACCTACAATATATTACTACCGTTGAGTGTAGAGCACATCATTGAAGTGGAACTAATAGAAAAAATCAGACTTATTTCCCTAGAAAGTTTCTTCCGTGCCTTCCTCTTCTTTAGAACAGAAGTCATCAACCCCTGGTCCACAGCCCAGTGCCAGTCCATGGCCTAAGCCAGACCGGGCCGTGGAGACAGACCTCTCACCCCGCTCCACATGCACTCCCCTCCCCACAGCTGCTTTGCGCGCACGCACACGTGTCAACGTCGCTGTGAACACTCCTCTACCCCTTCACGCATGCTCCTGAGTGCTCATGCGAAGGGGCAGGAGCGCATGCGCAAGGGCATACAGGGACTCTTGCACATGCGTGAAGTGGGGGGAGTGCTCACACCGGTGCTGGCATGTGTACTCCCCCACCATTTCACACATGTATTAAATAGTATTTTTATGCAGATGAAAACTGGAGTGTGCAGATCAAATAGGGTTATGTAAATGCAATAGCTAGTTGGATAGCTCTGCAGTTTAGTGGCTGCAGAACCAGAAGTTGAGAATTCAATTCCTCACTGTGCCCTCTGGGAGAAGAACCAGCATGTGTAGTCATAGGCAAGTTGATTTGATGGCACACAGTTATAAAGCTGGCTAGAATGCTCAGTGAATCAGGTCTCTGGCTGTACAGGAGAGGCTGGGAGTTTTTTTCCCCACTGTGCTTCCCAGAAGAGCCAGCTTGTGTGGCCTCAGGCAAAATGAACAGCCCCTAGAAGAAGGGACTCGTAAACCGCTTCTGAGTAGTCTCTACCTAGAAAACCTTGAAAAGAGTCACCATAAGTCACAATTGACTTGATGGCATATAATGATGATGATGATGGTGGTCTAAATGCAACAAATCTATACAATGAATTCCATCAAAATCCTACAAGGGGTGTGTGTGTGTGTGTGTGTGTGTGTGTGTGTGTGTGTGTGTGTGTGTGTGTGTGTGTGTGTGTGTACACACTAGCTGTAGAATTTTGCATGCAATGTTAAGTTATTTAAAATTAAGTAAATTTTAAATTAAAAAATGATGTTCAAGTGCTTGTGAGATTTAACAGCAGGAAAAGTAGCCATGGCAAAATGCTTCCAATGCAATGCAAACTATTTCATAAAATGTGGATAAGACTTTGCATTTCCTTCTCCCATACTGATACACTCAGACACAAGCAAAACAAGACAAGCACTCATTTTGAGACAGGATATTGCCTCCTCAACCCAGCTCAAAAGAGTATAGAAAACAGTCTTTGATTATGGTAATTGTTGATATTGAAACAGCAAAACATTACCAAATATGATACTGGAGATACAGACTCATCGCTAAAACTTCAGTATGCAGAGAATAGCAAAGGAATCAGTGCACTCATAGAAAAAAGTTCATTCTGTGTACTGACAAAGTAGAATGTACTTAGTGTCGTCTCTCTGTTAAAATCATGAGCGTTATAAAACAAGTGGTACTCAAACTGGGGTAAAATGCCATCTCACTTAATCTTATCTTAGAACTGCAGAGCTGGAAGAGACCCTATGGATCATCACCTTCATGTAGATCTAGAATAAAATATTTAATGAACACTCACATATTTTCTTATCTTTGAAAAAAATAATTTCAAAACATTGAGACAGTCCATTGAAAAAATGGGCAACCACTGTGAGGTTTTTTCACTCATGTGTCAGAGCAAAAAGGTCACCTTTTTTTCAATAGCATTTGCAAAAATGTGTTGTTTTCCACAAAAATGTATTTTGCATTTAAAACTTTCTAATTTTTTTGTAATAAAATGCAAGGTTTTCTTCACAAAATACATGAGGGGTTTTCCCAGAAACACTTCTATGAATTTTGCAGAAAAGTGCAAAAGTGTTTTTTTAAAAAGTAGAAACCTCTTGTAATTTTGCCAGCAAAGAGAAAAGGTTTGAAATGTTTCAATGAAAATGTCGATCCTAACCTAAAAGCATCCCTGTTATTCACAAAGGAGGTTAAAATATTCTAGAATTATACACAGAGCCGTAATTTATTGGTACAGTGGACCCTTGACTTACAGACGGCTTGACTTACAGACTTTTTGAGTTACAGCCTTCTCTGGCCGCAAAATTTAGGTTTGACTTACAGCCTGAGAATTGACTTACAGACCAGAAAAAAACCAAAATGGAACAAAAACGGCCTGTTACGGGATTAATCGG